TTTTCACAAATACAAATTTTTAAAAAAAGAACTGCAGACCTCACTTCTTTATATTTTTGAGTGGGCCAGCCATGTTGCCACATACAACATATAATATTTCTATTCAATTTATTTTATAATATAAAATTGCCACTGAATTCTTTAAAATAAATTTACCATTTACAAATTAGTGTGTTGGACACTATATAATCTGCAGGGTGCCTAAACAATGACTCAACAAACAATAAACACATCTTCCACGCACCACACAAATTTTAGCCACAATTGAAAAACCAAGAAAGCAACAAATATCAGGCTGCATCTTGAAAACAACGAGATAGCGCATTACAACCAGTCATTACAAACATGAAATCCTCCACCCCTCCCAGTACACCCTACAGCATTAATGGTTCCTATACTCATTTGCATCTATGTACAACAAGCTTAGCCAATTGATGCACCTGACTCATCAAACTTTTGACCAACCACTCATTCTAAATATTGTTGAGTGAGGGCGCTATTTACTAATGAAAGGGATCTAAATGAACAAACAATAAAATACTCACGCGAGAGGTTTCACACTGTTCATACCTGTCAGCTAACGGTTTCATTAAACATTCCACCAAGTTTAATTTTTCACTTTCTTCACAAGACAAACACTGGCTAGCTGTGAATCGAAAAGTTGAATACATGAAGTAGTCAGGTGCGTTGTGATTTCAAATCACAATCCAGTTATGAAGGGTGCAACAAGGTATTGATCAATTCCAATGAATTCTACCGATAAAATCAAATATAAGTACTTAGATATATTTAGAAAAGGCGACGACTGAAAATTTGATATGCTTGCAGCTGTAAATTAAATGCGAGAAGTAATATTCGGATAACTGAGACATGATATGCCAAGAACGCAGCTTACAATTAACAAGATTAATATGAAGATAAACAATTCCCAAATGACTTTAATAATAATATGACTGCGCAGTATCCCTTCAAAGACAAACTTAAATAAGGTAGAAAACAATTAAGTGAAAAAATGAACAAATTACTATATCCACGTTATAACTCTCAACTCGTTAATTGTTCGTACCTTGTCCCTGGCCAGGAAGCATAAGATCATGTGGATTTCCATCAGCACGTTTAACTACTCTAGCGTTCGTCTGATATGTAATCTGAAATAATCGAAACATGACTGTAACAAAGTCTGGTTCAACATAGTATAATGTACAACAATAGTACGAAACAACAACAACAGGGTATATTGGAATGTAGTCAATACGAATACGAGTAACAGTACAAATTTCCATAATTTGTTAATTGTTTTATCACAAGCATAAATCAAAGCACCGACGACCGAGATTTGTTGATACTAGCACAAACGAAACAGGTTTAATAAGTGCAGCGGACCGCCTCAAATATCCATTGGCAACTATGAAGTGATTAAAATATGGGTTACGCTGGAGGTTGCGACAAAGACAAATATGAACCATCAAATTAACCATGGTTTATAATTTTGAATAAGTAGTCAACAAGAAAAAATCAAAAATAAGTTTAGCATTGAAAGATCTAAAAAGAAAACAAATTCACCCAGCGCCTGTTCTTAACTGGTAAAAACATATATATGCCCGGCTGCTGGAGGCAGATAGGAAAGTATATAACAATGATGATCACACACATATTCGTCTGAGAGTGAACCTTTCACAGTGTCCGCACATTAAATACGAAAACGACTTGGTTATAAGATTGAAGATTTTGTTGAACACGTAAATAATACTCGCTTCGACCACGAACACAAATTCTCTCCAAAATGACATTTACAGAAATCTATCAAAGGAACTTAAATCCCTGAATACTCAAGTAATGAAATCTAGTAGTTTATGTTCGAATGCTAGAAAATGAAGCCATCCACCAACACGGGATCAGTGGCTATATTGATACATGTATGAATGAATGAAGGAATGGGGAATAAAATAGTGCAACAGTTACAATAATTACAATGATCCACCGCTTCAGTTGGATATAATGTATATTCAGAAAAGAATTCTTATCTGTCTGGTAGTGTATATCGGGCAACGGCTTCAAATGGGTTGCATTGCCACATACAGAGAGTTAAAACAAGGAACAGGATAACACTCACCGCACAGATTAAGATACCAAGTAGAATCATCATATTGGACATTTTCACAGGCATTCACTCAGGTGTCCTAGACGAACAATGATTTACAACACAAGAACTGCGAGCTTTATTGCTAACTGTGATGCAGTATGGGGCAAATAATTGTTTTGACAGCTGTAGGGTTGTGACATATTTGCGTTTTCTTTATCCCTAGTAGATTTTATGAATCTGTAATTTACACAGTCACATAGAACACAGCAAATGACAAGAAAGTTGGAAATCTTACGCAGTTATATTTGCAATAATAATTTTTGTTGTAATTCACATTTCTGATTTTATAAACTGTTTACAAATATAGAATAGGTATTGCATTTAGTAATTATCGCAGTGATGGTAGCAGGAATTTTGATTAGATGAGGGCGCACATATTAGATGACGACCTACACCATTGTGTTATCGGTAATATACATATTAATAAGGAAAGCTTTAGGTAGCACCTGTGCAGCTCGGTTCTGAATCCGCCCCTGCATTGTTAAGTCTCTACAACAGTTGTGTTTATAACGACTAATAACCATAGGAAACTATAATATTGTTTTTATTACGGTATTTACGCTGCCCACAGATTGTAAATTGTTTATCTATGTATTAATTAATACATTCGTTGTTTGCGCTTTTCGAATAATATTCTGTACTCAACTTTATCACCAACAAACTTTTTGCCACAAGCAGAAATCAAAATGTAAATGTTAATTTGTGGCTGGTAACCCATTTGTTTTAACAAATATGAACACTGACTCAGCGTATGCAACGACAACGTTGATTGTAACCTCCTCATTGTACTTGCATTGCATGATGGTTCTTAAGATATCGGCGTCATGGGTGAGAGGTCTAAAAGCATACCTCAGTACAGAATATCTGATATAGATATTCAGTGCCACGTGATACATTTTTTATATTAAAGCAAAGTATCTATTGCTAGACAATATATAAATTGATTAAAACAGTCAGAATAAAAATAACAATAAATTTGAGGCAAGTTTAATTATTAATTCGATGAGGGTACTTTTTTTAAATTTAAAATGAACATGAAATTTTTCCTTTTAGTTTGAATGGTTTTCTTGATAAATCAGATACATGAATATTGTTGTGTTTTTTTGAGGGGGAGGGGAACTTCACTTAATACTTTAACCATATCACTCTTCTATTTATTTACTTTTTACAAGGTTTATCCGGATGCGAATCGAAAGTTAGTGTGTTTGATCACAGGGGCATATAATAATTACGGCCTGTTGCACTAATAATAATCGATAATTCGGCACAATGCATCTATTCTGAACACATGAAAAGGCAGTTCCGGGTTAATCAAATGTCAAATTGCGATGCACAAATGAGAAAATCACTGTAAGATTTGGTCTGTCAAATAAATTATTATATTACAAGGTGCGAATAAAATTAGGGATATCTGGACTTTCTTCCATGGAAATAATATCTTTACTCAAAGCGTTAGGAAGTAATATAAAATATTCATTCAACTACAAATATTTTATTTTTTGACATTTGTACCTTCCTGAATCCCCCCATTTTAACGTATTTCTTTAGGTTGTGTTAAATAATAATGGTTCACCACATTACATCGTATCAGGATACAAGAACATCGATTTTGTTATTGATACAAGTGGTGCAAAAGCGTTCTATACAAAAGATAACATTGTCAATTTGATTGAATATTTGATAGGATTTTGTGGATTTTGGTGGCCGTGTCAAAACTCATATGAGGCAGAATTTCCTCAGTAACTTGTAAAAATTAATAACACAGGGAGGCATATATTAATGATGTACATTCTATCAACAATCATTTCATCAATAATTGTGTTTTAATTATATATCCACCTGAATCTGAAATCAAAGAAACCACAGAATTCTGCCTCATATCTGTGTGTAGTTGACTGAATATGGGGAATGTCAGATTCCTGTCCCCAAAACTCGAAAGTCAATTTTTTTTCAAGAGAATAGCTTGCCTTAATATGTAAGCTTTTCTGTGGCAGATATCAAATATATGACAACATACAGCGGTTGCCATCTGTAGGGTAGGATATACTCTTATGCAAATACCTGATATCACTTCTTGATCTTAACCTTGCTGTGAATGCTAATCATTTTTCTTCGTGTTAAATTATGTACTACTATAGACATTGACCGTTGTATGTGTGTAAATGTACTTTATCCCAGGCGTATTGTTATTTATATCCATTGTACGTTTTTGAGAACTATATGCGACTGTTGATTTTCAAATAATAGAGGCGTATGTCAGTGCTTCTTACTTCATCTTCAAAGTATGACGTCATTCTAGCGACACATCGTTTAATAATTTTAACTAACCTAACGCCAACATATCTAAATCGACGTTTTTGCTCTATTGTGTTGATTCTTTGATTAAATCTGTCAGCCATTTAGATCATAGTGTGTTACATGTGCGGTCTCAAACCAAAGAATTCATGTAGCTGTCAACGTTTAAAGCATGTTTTGTTTTGAACTGAATGTGTTTAAGAACCATATTTCTAACGAGTTCTCACAGTAACTTGATCTGAATCACAGGTTAGAGTAACCATACTCAAAATGCATGGCACGGCTATGGTCTTAACACTGTTTACTGAACTGTTCGACTCTAACACATTTGTACATGGACATTGAGGCGAAAGTGAGTCAGTTTTTCACATGAATACATTTTCTATACTGTCTGAATACTGAACAAAATTGCCACTGACACTTGTAAAATACAAACATTAAAAACATATTATCTCGTTGGCCCGTTTAGCTGGTGTTTAGATAACTTCAATTCCAACCTTGCTTTGCATTATGGGAGGACACAGTAGGCTGTCACCTGTCACAGAATTACTTCAAATGATTATTCTACTGTACTAAAAATATAAATCTAAGTATGCAATTGCATTGTGTTATTTTCCCCATTATTATGACGGCTCATAAAAAAGGCCTTACCGAGCATAGCACTATTATTGAGCAAAACATTCAGATATAGTTACAGTTACACAGTGGCAGAGAACTGACGTTGACATCGGTCTCCTGATAGGTCTCAATTGTACACGAACAATGAAACCAAGAAAGTTAATTCCAGAAAATGACGATGATTTGTATGCAGTAAAAACATATCTTGGATGAGACGTTATTGGTATGATGCAAAATCCAGAAAATAACTGTGAAAACCATAATTGCTAACTCGTATGCACAGAAGAGTGTGTCACTTTGTCTTTAAAACTCAAGCAAAGGAGATTTGTCCAGCACAGGTATTAAAAATGTTTGAAGTTGACTTTAGTGAGAGGCAATCAGGCCAGAAGGTGTCAGTTGACGACAGGATGTTTCTTACACAGGCTAGTCGTGGAATACGCAAACAAGATAATATACACTATGAAATTTCACTTCCAATGAAAGACGAAATGAAGCTCCCAAATAAAAAAAGAATGACTCACAAACGCCTAACAAGCCTTAAGGTCAGGTTGACGAGTAACAAGAAGTATAAATAAGACTACGTGACCTTTATGAATAATAAAGAATTATAGATGATGATACTGATGAAGGAAAGATGGTCACATTTGGTATATTCCACTCAAGAAGCCTAGGCCTGGGCGGATACAAGAAGTGTTTGATTGCAGTGCTGAATTATCACCTATTCAAAGTACCTGACCAGACAAATAATTTGACTGGAGTTTCATGTCGCTTTCATAGAAGCAATGTTCTACAAAGATGATCCTGACTACCTTAGATTTCTTTGGTGGCAGAATAGTCAGTTAGAGCAAGATTTCAATGTACATGTTTTATTAGAGATTTGTTTCAAAATCAGGAAATGATTAGATTTGGAGTCCTAACTTGTAGACGTTTACCTACAAATGAGAATGTCTGTGATCTTTTTTGTAGGGGTGAAAACTAGATGACAGCCAAAAAAGCAGGCGCAAGACACAACAAAGTGCATTCAAGGAATTTTTCTGGCATGTTGGGGAACAACACTGTTTACCTGATGTTACAGTCCTTGCACTGACCACAACTGCCCCAAAGTCTCAACAGTCCTAGTTGAAAGACAGCCTCATTACATTATTCCAGATTGCAAGACTATAAACATTTGTCAAAATAGGGAACATTGGATTGTTTGTCGTAAAGACTCCGAGGGACAGTGCATCCATATTTTATTGGATGGTTGACAAACTAAGAGACGATAAAGATACTTTCCCACAGACAATTATTTATTGTTAATTATTATTTATCATTATTTCAAAGAGGAATATTCCCAGTCAGTTTTTTGACGAATGTACTATAGAGAAATTGGAAGTACTGTACAAGAATCGCATCCAAAAGAAAGTGTCCAACTAAAGTTTGAGATTATTATTTTGCCACACAGCCTTTGGTATGGGCATTTTTATCAAAACAACTCATGTACTCCATTTAGATCGCTCTTTTTCGATATTGAAAGCTATAATACAGAGGTCGTGTTGAGTTGGTAAAGATGATGAACCATCTCAGTAGTCTTGTTTTTTCATGTCAATTAAAAAATTATATAATAAATGTAACAGTATTTGAAGATTTTGCATCAAATGAAGACATCAATGTCATGAAGAGCAATAAACCACATCACCTAAATAAGTGAAATCTTAGTATATTAAGCCATTAATTTATTTTCCAGCTGTTTTCATAAGCATAACATGTTCATCTCCGTAACAAAAACAATTGACAGAACAACGTTTATTTAAGTATCAATAAATATTTATCACTCAAATAAAATATGTTTTTCAATCACTAATTTACTGAAAATACTCTTATAAAAACTGTTTATCAAAATAGCACAACTATTCCAAAATGCCTGTTGAGAATCTTAGTTAAATAACAAATTGATGGATGCTAAAGATACCTGGTGGATCTTTTCTTTGTGTGAACAAAGATATAAACTAAGACATTGTGCATCAAAAACACTGACTAAAAATAGATGGAATCAATTCTGATCAGTGATAGACAAGAAAAATTAAGTCATTGATAATTATAAAAAGAAAACTGAACTGGTATGAAAAAAAAAATGTACAGCATCATGTCTAAGAAAATACT